TGTTGTGTTAATTGCTTCTGCCCAGAAGATCTTAGCAATGTTAGTCTCATTGGTCATGGTTCTGGTCATTTCTTGCAATGTTTTGTTCTTTCATTCTACAACTCCATTTTGTTGGGGAGTTCTAGGACAAGAGAAATCATGTGAAATGCCTTTTTCATTAAAAAATGTTTCAAATTTTTTGTTTTCAAACTCTCCACCATGATCACTTCTAACTTTGACAATTCTAAGATCCTTTTCATTCTAAACTTGGTTACAGAAAGCAACGAACACAGAATGAGACTCATCCTTGTGTCTTAAGAACTTTACCCATGTCCATCAGCTATAGTCATCTACGATCACTAACCCATACTTCTTGCCACTAACAAACGCATTTTTCACTGGTCCAAATAAGTCTATGTGCAGAAGTTCTAATGGCCTAGAGGTGGAAACAACATTTTTAGCTTTAAAATCAGGTTTTGCAAACTTGCCTTTCTGACATTCTTCACACAGAGTATTTGAGCTGAACTTCAGATTAGGAAGTCCTCTGACCAGATTGAGTTTGTTAATCTGAGATATTCTTCTTATACTAACATGTCCCAAACTTCTTTGCCAGACCCATTGCTCGTTGTTAACAGAAAGAAGGCATTATACATTCTGACTTTTTAGTTCAGAAAGTTTTATCTTATAAATGTTGTTTTTCCTCTTTCCATTAAACAGGATAGTTCCATCTTTCTGACTAACAGCTTTGCATGAATTTTGATTAAAGATTATATCATAACCATTATCACTTAATTGACTTATGGATAACAGGTTATGCATCAATCCATCAACTAACAACACGTTATTAATAGAAGGAAGGTTACCATTACCTACTGTTTTAGAGCCAATGATCTTCCCTCTTTGGTTGCCTCCAAAGCCCACGTAGCCTCCAGGTTTAAGTTCCAGGCTTTGGAACATATGCTTTCTTCCCGTCATGTGTCGAGAAAATCCAGAGTCCAGGTACCATGACTGGTGTTTTAGCCTTGCTGCTAAAGATATCTACTACATATATAATTTTTTCCTTAAGTACCCATATCTTTTTGGGTCCTGGTTTATTAGTTTTACCAAAATTTTGTTTGAATTTTGGTTTGGCAGAATAATCATTGCTAGTGTATTTCAGATCATGTGTGTGCCCATATGTGAAGTGTGATTTTAGTGGTGTGCGTTTAATTACTAGGTCCATGACTTTCTTAGGTGGAGATACCTTACCTTGGTATCCTATTCCTTTTTTTTTCCATTTCTGCTAACTCCATAGATCATTGAAGCCATCTTGCTTCTATCTATGTTTTTAGCCAGAAACTTCTCAAAGTTGTGATCATATTCTTTTATGATTTTATCAACACTACTGGGAGCCTCTCAGATTATTTCTTTCTGAGAGTTTTGTAAATCATTTTCTAGTTTTGAAATCTTTTCTTTTAGCTCAAAATTTTCTAATCTAAGACTCACAGTTTCTTTAGAGTCAGAGACAAGATCCCTTTTCAGGTTCTTAAATTAGACTCTGATGTGCTAATACCTTGCCAGAATCTCATTCAGGCTTTCTGCTAGTTCAGCTTTAGTAAAATTAACAGTAAAATCAGGAAATACCTCTTCTGAGTCTGACTGAGATGCTTCGTTGTCTTCTGTCACATTAGCCATAAGAGCAATGTTGGCTCTTTCATCATCTGATTTTGATTCTGCGTCAGAAGTATCTGAATCATCCCATGTTGCCATGAGACTTTTCTTCTTCTCCTTGAAGAACTTCTTTTTGGGCTTCTCCTTCTGAAGCCTTGGACAATCACTTTTGTAGTGCCCCTGTTCATTACACTCATAGCAGATGATGTCTCTATTGTTTGATTTTATGTGACCAGACGAAGCTTCAGATCTTCTGTGTCCAGAGGAGGGCTCAGACTTTCTGTATCCGAAGGAGGATTCATTTTGATTCCCTGATCTTCTAGAATTTCTGAATTTTCTTTGCCTCTGCTTCCACAGATGATTGATCCTTTTAGAGAGAAGAGATAGTTCATCTTCTTCTAATGAGGATCCATCGAAGGTTTCTTCCATAGCCTGCAAAACCTTAGAATCAAGTTTCTTGTTAGATTTTAATGCTAAAGGCTTACCTTGCTTCTGAGGCTCGTCATCTTCTAGCTCTATCTTATGGCTTCTGAGGGAGCTAACAAGTTCCTCCAGAGATATCTTGTTGAGATCTTTAGCCAGCTTAAGAGCAGTGACCATTGGCCTCCATTGCTTTGGTAAATTTCTGATGATCTTCTTTACGTGATCAGTAGTAGAATACCCTTTGTCAAGAACTCTCAGCCCAACAACTAGAATCTGGAATCTTGAGAACATCGCTTCTATGGATTCACTGTCTTCCATCTTGAAAGCTTCATATTTCTAAATGAGCGCAAGGGCCCTGGTTTCTTTAACTTATATGTTGCCTTCATGCGTCATTCTCAGAGAGTCAAACATGTTTTTGGTTATCTCTCTGTTTGAGATCTTCTCATACTCTGAGTATGAGATGGCACTGAGAAGAATTGTTCTGGCCTTATGATGGTTTCTGAAATCATGCTTTTGTTGGTCAGACATTCTTTTTCTATCTATATTCTGACCAATTTCATCCACTAGATACATGTATCCATCAATTACCATGTTCCATAGGTCAGCATCATGAGCCAGAAAGAAGCTCTCAATTCTATCTTTCCAGTAGTCAAAATTTTCTCCATCAAAGACTGGAGGTTTACCACTGATTCTGTCCTTGTCATTGTGATAGTCATTGCTGATGTTTTGGCTTGGTCCCACCATAGTGTTTTTCTAAAGCTTGGATCTTGTACTAACACGGTTAAGTGTATGAAGTCAGAACCAGGCGCTTTGATGCCAATTGAAGAAGTGAAAAACACAAGAGGGGGATTGAATTGAAACTTAAAAATCAAAAGCAATAGACTCAAGATTTTTATCCTGGTTCGCTTAATCTCAAACTACTCCATTCCACCCGCCAAGGTGATTTCGCTTCTCTCCAATGAGGACTTAATTCACTAATCAAACAGATTACAAATCTACTTTGACAACTGCCAAAGTCTTCTTGAGTATAACCACAACCCAGTTTATCTCAAGGAAAAATATCTTAATCAAAGAAAATTTTATTGTGTATTATTTGTTTTCGTTACAAAAACTGTATCACTACTGTGATGTATTACACAATTTGAATATAGGATGAATATGAATATTTGCAGCTTTTTGAGATTGTATGAAGAAGTCGTTAGGAAAATCGTAAACGATTTACCCTTTGAGCTTGTTTATATAGGCGTGGAAATCTGTCCAAATTGAAACGTGATAATGGACACTTAATGCACTTTCCATACTGAGAAGATTCTTGTCTGAATGAAGCCGTTGCATATGATACTGTCTTAATGGAAAAGTAACGCTTCAGAACTTGGGAATCTTGCATGCTGCTTTACTTCAGAACTTTGATAACTCAGACATGAGGATTTGTTGGCGCATTAGACTTCTGTTCAGAATCAGAATATCTTTTACTTTAGTGCAGATTCTGATCATCATTCTTCAGAACATTCTGATTACTCAACTTGAAAGCTTTTGTGGCTTAACTTCTGGTGTCGTTTCAGTCAGAATTTCTGTACAACATACAACACAAATTTAGAGTGCATATTTATTCTTTGTGTTTGTTATCGTCAAAACTCTGATAAGGGTTGTAGAATCAAACTATGTTCTAACAAGTCTCTTTACTTTCATATGTCTTCCCTCATCTTGACATGCATCTTCTGATAATAGAAAACTACAATAAAACTTGATTGGTCTCAGATTGCAAATTTTACGGTTCTATTAAGTATTCAATCCTCTCTCACATTGATTGTTCAAAAGGAGTCCTCCAATATCACCCTCTGGTTAAAGAAGATTGAATAGGGGTATTTGTTGCATCCTAAAATTTTCCCTCCTAATTTCTTCTATTTGGCTTAGACTTTTGCATTCACCTGCATATGCATACATACATTGGTTCTGTTGCTATGGGATCAAGGTATGCCAATAAACATTGACTATTTATCATAAGCGTCAGAAGGCTTTGGGCAGGAAATTCAATCTGTTGAGGAACAGGTTATCACCATGTTCTATTTCCGTGCATTTCCTCATGTCTTGGGCAATATAGGGGAACCATTGGTTTTGATCTGATTTAGATTAGTGCTGGTAAAAAAAATCAGTTTTGGTGGGTCAACTTCGTAATTTTCTAACTACGAGCCATAGTACTTTTTGGGGCTGAAATTGGATCACCAAGTCCGCGATGATATTATCTTCACTTTTCGTGTTCGGGCCGGGAGCCAATTATATGCAGAAGGCGGTCAAATAATTTTATTATTGAGTTTTCAGGTTACCGATCAACGATGTTTCGGGCGTTTAGAAATTTCTAACTCCGATCTCGTATATTGTCTCGAGGTAATTTTTCCACCTTCAAAACCACCTTGATATCCTCTCCAACTTCCATGTTCAGGCCCAAAGCTAATTCTCAAAGGAAGGTCTCCAAATTCGCAAATCAGACAAAGTTGAATAATGGAAAATACTGATAAATAGTTGGCAGAACCGTGTTTTGCGTGCATTAAAAATTCATATCTCCTGGCTCGAGTATTGTATGAGCGCGGTTTTTATGCCCTAAATTTCGTCTTGATAGCCTCTTGATGGACGTCCAGGGGAGAGAAGCTGATTATTTGAGGAAGGTTGCGTAAACTGCAAATTTACTGAGAAATTATTTGGTACATGTCTGTCCGGTTTCTAATATTCAAAAATTCATAACTCAGTCAATTTTTACCGAATCGCGCCTCTTCTTGAAGCATTGGCTCTCTAATTTTGTCTGGTTCAATTTAGTTTCATATTGTCAAGATGAACGGTAGCCCGAAGACCTTCGTTGTTGGTTCATTTTGCAAAACGAAGTTGTTCGTACCAGTAAAATAGACTGAACGTCATTGCATTGTAAAGTTCATGAAAAATCAACCGTTTATCAGATGACTTTCTTTTTTTTACACAACAGCGGGCGCTCTGAAACGCATATTTTTCCTGGCAAAGTCGGATCGAGGTTCGGATTCCTTAGACACGACCTCGTAACGTTGCCGAGTAGCAGAGGTCAAATAAGCTGATATTTTGACTTTTATAATTTTTTGTCATGACGTCCCGTCACTCAAACGTGTCAGATGTTATTCAATTTTTGTCAGAAATCGTCCGTTCTTTTTTAGTTACGTCCGTAACTCAGAGCCGTACATTTTCTCAGGCGACACTGCGTTGAAAATATTTAAAGAACATTGTTTAATTTGCGATTAAGTTGTGGATAAACTGAAAGTTTAGTTCAAAATTCAAAAACTATATAATATATTTTTCCCCCAATTTTCAACAACACATTTCATTTTACCAAAAACTCATGAACTTCTTGATTTTCCTCTCAATTCTCCCTCTACCATAAAAACTCTCCCAACCTCCCTACCTCACCAGAACTATCGCACAGACCTCCACTCCTACCGCCGGAAAAACCGCCGGCACTTCTTCCCTCCACCCTGCTTCTCGTCCTTCCGCCTCTGGAAATACTACCACCTTTGCGTCCTTCTACCTCCATCAATACTCCCTCTCTCTGCGTCTTTCCGCCTCCTACAATACTCCCTCTCTCTGCGCCCTTTCTTCACCGCCAGAACCTCACTCTCCTCCACCTACAGCCGCCTCCAAAAATACTCACTCCATCGCTCCCTACAACTCCGGCCTCCTTCAACCTCTTCAATTATCCAATTATCCAATTCTTGAGGTAAGGTTCTATATCCTCTTCTCTTGCACATTGCTATGTTGAATTTTGATCAAGGATTGTTGAATTGAAGTGTAAATTTAGTTGTTTATATGGTGTGATATGCTGATTTTGATTCAAGATTAGTGTTACTAATTATTAGGATTTGGTAGGTTTACATAGAGATTTAGTATGTAGAATTTGTAATATAATTTTCACTTTAGGTGTTTGTGATAACGCATAGGTGAATTGACATAGAATTTAACACTAGATCTTGAACTATAACATTAGTACACTAGGTTTTGTTAAAATTCCTCTTAGAATTAACATAGACTAAAATCTTGTAAATTGACATGCTAATTGTGCCTTAGACTCTTTGTTTCTTGAAATGAAGATGTTAAGGTTTGGCATAGGTTGATAGTTGACTTTAATTTGGTAGAGATTATAGCATTCTAATGCTTGTAATTTGATACTTGACACCGGCACGTTACTTGAATTTTGCCTTTGTGCATAAAAGTGTGATGTAATTTAGTTTGTGTTCTTTAGCATGCACTAATATTCTAACACTCTTTTGTTTGAGTTGGTTTTGTTGTTAGTTTGATTCAAGTAGGTTCACTAACACAACACTAAATCAATGACATTAGCTTGTATTTGCAATTTTCAACTCATGTGCAAATTTTGACATAAACCATTTTTCTTGTCAATTCTTGTGTATACTTGTTGATTATAATTTCTAGGTGTTGAGATAAGTTTCAATAGACTCTAATGTAGGGGTGTTCAGATCCAAACCAACCCAATAAAAAACCGCAAACCGAACCTAACCAAACCGAAAACCGCAAAAACTGCATTTGGTTCGGATGCGTTCGGACCAATTTTTGACAGAACCGTGCGGTTCGGTTCGGTTTGCGGTTTTCTTTTGCAAACCGATCCAATCCGAACCAAACCGCGATGTTTACAAACTTATTTATTAATTACTGAAATAGGCCCAATTATTAATTGGCCCAAATCCAATATACATGTTTATTGTTGTTTCACCAATTTGCTTGCTAGGGTACAGACGTACAGTACACCGCCGCCGCCGGTACATTGAAGAAGAATGGCGGACACTCACACCAGAACAAACACGCACATCACAACACCACCTTGTTGATCGAAGAACAGCGGACACAAATCGAAGTTGAAGAACATCAGCAACAAGCGAAACACAAACTGGATTCGAAGAACATTATCAAAATTTGAAAATCACTTAGGTAACGTTATTGTTCATCATGTTCAAGCTGTGTTCTATTTTCTCTTTGCGGTAGAATTGTCGATTCGAGAATAGGTAGAGTGTGTCTTGGTAGGCTTTGAAGCTGCATCGGTAGAAGACAGATAAGTCTGAACTTACTTTGAGGGCTACTGCTTGGTGGCTTTGTGGTCTTGCTGTGTTCTCAAATGTTATGTCTCTTGCCCAAAATCCATCCCCTGATACATCTATTTCATGTAACCAAATCATGTTAGCATATATCATAGACACCTCTAGTTTTAATGAAATTAAAATAACTTACCAAATGTGGCAGAGTTAAGAGTGGTTCCAACATTCTTCACATTCCTATTTCCAGTGACAACAGTTCTATCAATTCCATCTCCAACAAACATAACATTATGCAACTTACTTCCTATCTCAACTTTTTCATTATACACTCCTGCTTTTACATGTATAACAAATCTTGAAGGACGATTATGCCCCCTTGAAGCAAGTGCATCAACTGCTTCTTTTATTGTTCTATAACTTCCAGAACCGTCTTGTGCCACTGTCAAATCTGCTTCATGCTTTGTAACACTCCATGATTCTAATAGTCCATTCTTTTCTTCTAATATTGTAACTCTCTCAGATTCTTCTCAAAAACAAAACAAGGACAAATAAGGTATATATTATTTATTACATACTTTATAAAATTAAAAAATAAATATAATACATTTACTTCCATTTATAAAATACAAATTATAAATTGAGCATGATTCTCTTTTGTTTTTACACACCTTAGGGAGTTAGGGTGAATACCTCCTTCATGGTGTTTGGACTCAAGGTGTGCCAATGTTTGTGTCACTACATAACAGAGTTAGTTTTGCACTTACAGTACCAAAAAATAATAGGTTGTCGTTTGGGTTTTTTCAAAACATTAACTTTGATAAAAAAATGTCTACAACATAGATATATGTGAAATTAATTTATATTTTGTTATAATCACACCATATAGTAAATAGTCAACAATATTATTGGTATTAATTTCATCTTTATAATGGGTAGTCTAGGTGATGCTTAAGAGAGAAAAGTGAAGTACTGTGATGTTTTTTAAGGAAAAAGAGGTGAGTGTGAACCTTATGGCCATTTTGATATTTTTAGTATGAACTAGCACATTGTATATATAGTTAATATATAACATGCTCTCTACGCAAAATAATTGATTCACTTGAAGAATCCACTCATGAATGGAGTTGGAATGCGGCAGATTAATATCTCTTGGACTATTGTTTATTGGAGTTGTTGCTCAACAAATCAACTCTCACAAATGGAGTTGCTAATGCCACATGATTTTATCTTAAGCAGTAAGCACAACTCAAAAATATTTTGACTTGGTTCAAGTTCATTGCCAAGTTTAATATAAAAAGATTGAACATTTTAATACTCTTACAATTTGTACTAAAAGTACTAAGACCCAACTTAGATTCAATGA